CCCCCCCCCCCCCTTTCAACTCCACCCTAGCGCGCCTCGGGGTCAACCGTTCGAAAACACTGTAAATATCAGTGTTTTCAGCTCTTCCAGTCCTCAGCAGTGACCAAAAATCATGGAATTTACAGCGTTTTTTGTGGCTGTCCGGCAAAAAACACCGCAAAAACCGATGGTTTTTGATGCGTCTCGGTTAGAAAAATGACCGAAAAAAGACCAAAAACCAGAAAAGATTTTGTCAGAAAGGGTTTTTGAGGCTTTTGGAGGCTTCAAAATTGCACAAAACTATGGTATTTACAGGGTTTTGTGCACCTTCCCGGCAGAAAACGCCGGTATTTACACGGTTTTCTGCGCTTTTCCAGCGCTCAACCGTGGTGCGCCTTTGGATCGACGGCTACAAAATACCGTAAATACCAGTGTTTTCAGCTCCTCCTGTCTTCAAGCGTGGCCTTAGACCATGCCACGGCTGTGGATCGACGGCAACGAAACCTCGTAAATACCAGTGTTTTTGAGCACGTCCTGTTTGCAAGCATGGCCTGCGGCCACGCAATTTACAGGGTCGCCGCACGTCACTATGTAAATCCGAAGTTGCACTTGAGAAATATGTGACTCCTTTTGAAGGCACGTCAACCTGTATTGAAACCGCTAGACCGCTACAGCTTCTGGAGGTTTTGTCAAGCGTTTGTGCATTAGTCTTTCTTTCATCACGCTCACTCACTTCTCTTCAAACAAGTGGGGGGCCTCTCACCTCCTCCCGGATTACGCCTGATTCCCTGCTACCTTTCGTTCACCCCCCTCCTCTCTCAAGTCGCCAATGTTCTCCAGCCCTTTGCTCCTAGTAGCTTCTAGTTTCTAATAGCTTCTTGTTACTACTAGTAAGGCACTTGCTCCTAGTAGCGATGCACTTGTTCCTAATAGCTTCTTTGCTCCTAGTAGCTTCTTGTTCCTGGTCCTAGTAGTAAGGCACTTGTTACTAGTAGCGATGCACTTGTTTCTACTAGCTTCTTGTTATTAGCAGCTTCTTGCTTCTAGTAGCGATGCCAGGAGCCCCTAGTAGCGTCCTTGCTTCTAGTAGCGATGCCCTTTGCTCCTAGTAGCGAACCTTGTTACATTGTATTTGCCATCACTTGCTCTCTGGCAAATGAATCCGTCTCCCTTGCGATTTATTGCGGTGAAGTGGCCTCCCTACGTCGGAATGGGCATTGCCTTTCCGATCCACTCCTTCCTATGCCGAAAAACAATAATCTACTGATGAATGTGTCGAGGGTTTCGCTCAGCCGCCCAGGTACTGTGAAACGACCTGCCGCTTGGTCTTCATTTTCCAACGCCAACACTACGAGTACTTCGAGCCAGGCACCGGATGATGTCTCACTTCTCATTCCAAAGAGGTAAAGCGGTGAAGCGAACACACAGGACATGAGAGCGAGCACATACGAGAGACAGGTGACGCTGGGACTGATGCAGATGCAGATGTGCTTGGCTCAGAAAACGAGATTGATTGGGGGAGTGGTCTCCAGAGGAAAAAGAAAAATGAACAAGACGGAGAACAAAGACCCATGTGCCTTCTGCTACCTCATGGACTATCTGCTGCGGAACTTCAGAGCCTGCACAAGTAGAGACTAAAATTTTGGAGCTTCCATCCAGCAGATGAGTGTAGATGAGGCATCAGAAGAACATCCCAAGATTATTTGGTCTTTCCAACAGCTTGAGCCACATTGGTGCTGCCCGTCTGGTTCTTTTGAGGTCGGCGAAGTGCAGCTTCTCCAGTGCCCAATTGAGGAACCCTTGGTGAAATATCTAAAGGTCCGATCCTTGGAATCCTGGGACAATCCTTGGAGTCCTTCGAGAGTGCTGTCCCTCCGGAGTCCCGCCCTTTTTTGGTGGATGGCTGCGGTGGTATAAACTTGTGTGTGCTCCCACGATTGTGACCAGATTTCACCAGCTTCGGTTAGAAGATGTTGGAAGCTGGAAGGGTCATGGCAGGTAAGCTTATATAGGCATGACGCATCATCTCGCCCGAGCTCACTGCCTTATCTCACTGCCTCTGCCAAGCAGTCTGAGGATCTGAGGAAGATTGAAGGATATTGATGGATATTGAACGGAAGCGAAAAGGGAGCCTGATAGGTTTATTGGTGCTCTCCGCTCCAAGCTCCAACCAACCCTGGCAGTGTCCTCGAGGCCAGTGGCTTGAGTAGCGATGACGCCGAGCATCTCAAGGATCGTTTCGGTGAGAACCTGTTGGAGGTCTTGGGCTCAGAGATCTCGTTGTTGTTTGTTACTGAGCAGCGCCAAAATCCAAGAAAGGAGTCAAGATGAGGTTCATGTGGGTAATACTGTAGCCCGCGAAAGTGAACTTTTCAAGTGCGCGAACGCCTTGAGAAAGCTTTGCGAAAGCTTCGCGAAAGTGACACTTGGAATTGTTGTTGTAAAAGCAGTTGCGAACACTTTTCTGGACTACATGTTTTTCTGTTGATCATTTGCATGTTAAAGAACGAGGGTGTCGCCGCGAATGTAAATACCTAAAAATGATTAAACATGAGGCCCGCAAAAGTCAAAATACAGGTGGGAACGCATTCATGAAAGACCTACTGTAGCTGATTAGAACCTTTCGCAACCAGTTTTTTTCGACACAGCTCTGTTGAGAGTCCTGTTAAGTGTTTGGGGGGATTTGGTGGCTTGAAGAGCCGGGGTAATGTTGAAGAAAGGGTGGAAGGCCACAAACGGATGGCCAAAGATGATGCCAATCGATGGAGACTTCCATTTCAACTTGGGACTTCGGAATCCGTTCAATTCTCTCCGTCGCTCTCAGGTGGAGTTGCCGACCTTTATTCAATGCTACAAGGCCAGGTCTGGAAATGAAAGGCTTCCATGAGAGTCCACAACTGAAACCATGGCAGAAATCGATAGCAATAGGGCATGGTTCGTTTTAGCCTCTTCAAGGAGACACTGGAACTCCCGATTCTTTTTCTGCTCTTCAGGAGCAGCTGCTGTCTCCGCTAGTGATTTTCCAGGCACCGCTGAGCTGCCACCACAAGTTGAAAGAAAGCAAACAACTGCATACTGTTCATACTTGTAGCGGTGTGGAACATATTTGATCATGGGCAATTTTCTTTTATTCGAGCTGCCGCCTGCTGCGTTTGAATCGGCTTTACGCTATTTGCGCAGATCCTCAATAACTTAACATTGCTTTCCCGGCCACTCACTTGTTGGACTTGCTTCTGCCAGATCTTCGTTGCGCTCGTGTATGCGGCTGACGATTTTGTCAACTACACCTTGATGCAGTTGCTGCACCTCGCCTGAGAATTCTTCCGCCCAGCCACTTCACTTTTCAGCCAATAAACATTCACCACAAACCAAGGCATCTACTGTATATAGAGTAGAAGGGAAAAGGAAAGGGCGGGGGCTCAACCTGAAGGCGCTATGACTCACCTTTGTTGGCTCCACATGCTCAGGGTGATCCTGACCATGGAGTCGACCAGCGTTTTCCAACGTTTGAAGACCATGAAGATGCTGAACAGCATGGGCACGAAGTCCTATGGCATCATGGCTCTTCGGTCAAACTAATGGGAACTGGTTGTATCCTGCAGCTGAAGTATCTGAGGGTTCTTCAAGCTTGTTCTATTTTTGTGAGTTCTAAAGCACGGACTTTGGAAACCAGCTGCTTGCTAAGCTGCAAGGCCTCCACATGAAAACTCATTCCCAATCTTGCGAAATGCTTGTACGATCTTGTACGTCTTGGTTTTAGGGGAGCCTCCATTTGGGAGACTGGTTGGGCAGACTGTTGGCACGTGGTACCTGGTAAGTGAGAAAGATGAGTGGAGCTTGCCTGAAACGTATCAATGGATGGTGCTTGTCATTGATGGTTGGAGATCATACACACCATCTTCACAGGCTCAACTATCTTATATCATTTCTCAGGACTTAATAGTACAAGAAGCTACTAGGAACAAGTGCATCGCTACTAGGAGCAAGTGCCTTACTAGTAGTAACAAGAAGCTATTAGAAACAAGGTTCGCTACTAGGAACAAGTGAGATGGATCAACCAGATGATGTGCTTGGCAGGTCTACCGTGGCCGGCAGTGGGTGGAAAAGAGCACCTCTGACCTGGTCCCTGGAGACTTGATCGAGCTCGTCATGGCCGGAGATCCCAAAGGGGTGAGACGAGTGCGGTCCAACCATCGAGTCTAGTAAACTGGCTGCGTTTGCTGGGAAGTCCAAAACAAAGAGTTTGAACAACTTGTTCTGAAGCTCTGAAGGCTTTGTCTTGCTTCGAAGCTTTAAAGTTAGATACGGGAGCCGGGCTTTTGGACTTTTCTTGTCCTTTGCGGCTTTGATGAGGTCAAAAGTGGCCAAGAAGTGACACCTGATCAAAAGGCTGGGCAGGTTTCGGAGACAAGGAGGTGAGTGTAAACCCGACAGTCCTTTTGGGATGAGAATGGAGGGCACCAAGGGGACATAGGGAGAGCTTTCAGTTGCAAACCTCGACAGTCCTTTTGGGCCAGAAACAGTATCATGGACGCTGCAGTTTTGTGTCTGGCTAGGTGGCACCAGACATTGTGCCCTGCGACTGTGTACTGATCCGTGGCGAGGCAGGGCGGGCACAGGGGTTTGGGCTGCCCAAAACAGCCTTTAACATAGAAGCAATGGCCTCCAGCCTAATAACGATGGCCTCCATCCTAATAAGCACTGGCTTCCAACCTAATAACCACGGCCTCCAACCTAGAAGCAATGGCCTCCATGAACGTCCTTCGCATTGCCGGAAGCGGCTGCCCTCTAACAGCTTTGGTGAAGCATGCTGCTTTCGCAGAGCTTGACTCCAGCTTGCAGCCTTCACTCTTGTATCATTCTGTCACTGGGTACACATCTCATGTGCTGTTCGTCTGTTATTGGAACATCAGGCTTCGGATTTGATCAAAAAGACCACACATACACCCTCAAAGTACCATGAAGCAACGAAGGATCCGCAATTGACAACACACTATTCGTCCATAGGTTGTGAAAGATCGTCTTGAATGGTCCGTTTGTCCGTCAGGCCGTGGCCAGCGAGGCGAGCTTGACAGGTGAGTCGGCGCCGCAGATGAAGGATGCCTTGAGCTCTGAGGAGTGGGGACCCAGGAACAAGAAAAAGATAGAACATAGAAAAACAATAGAGCATAGAAATAGGACTTGAACAAGAGAAATAGAATGTGTATATGTATATATATATATATATTATAGTGAGAAGAAGCTCACACATTTCCGAACGCTTGCTTTGCAGGATCGACCACTAGAACTTCAGGGTCGTGATCGGGTGCACTGCCTTTTCTCAGGTGCGATACGATCTAGTAACAAAAAGCTATTAGAAACAAGTGCCACGCTAGTAGTAACAGGTGCCTTACTAGTAGTAACAAGAAGCTACTAGGAACAAGTGCATGGCTTCTAGTAACAGGTGCCTTACTAGTAGTAACAAAAATCTATTAGGTACTTGGCGGAAGACGTGTTCGGACCATTTGCGTGAACGCAAGGCACGCGGATTGTCCGGGCCACAGAGGGTACCAACAAGGAGGAGGCTGGAGCAAATTGGGAGCAAGATCTTGCAAATGGTGAAAGTTGCTGAAACACATCCAATCTACAATAAATATATATATATATAAATACACAACTGTATTAATTAATTACTGTAAACAAAACACATTGGACCAGGCATTTGAGGCAGGTGACTGTGGGCCAGAAAAACTCTGCTGGGACAGGTCGAGACACAGAGACCCACGAGCGAGGTGCTGCAAGTTGTTCTGGGGCTTGCACTCAGGATTTCCAAAGGATGAGATCTCATTTTGCGCGATATCTCCACATGATAACTCAGCACAAACTGACATAGTCCAAGCTGTTCCCGAAACAATTTTCCTCCTTTCTTGGAAGATTTTTACCTTTGCAGGTGCCACCCACTCCAAACCAGGGCTGTCTCGCCTATGTGGCCGAGCCCTAAGCGAAACCTGAGCGCCAGGGGGTTTCCCGCCGCCGCCAACGGCGGTGATCATCAACGACCGGCTTCGATCAGGTGCGGACCGGCTTCGCATCATCGCAAGGGCAGCTCCTGCAGATGATCGAGTTCTCCCAAGACAAGGCATGGTCATGCATGGTCATGTGGTGTTGCTCTCTTGGTGAGGTGGTTGACCCATGCGGTAAAAGGTTGAAGTGGTTGTGGCCTTTTTTGACATCGGAGTCGGAGTGGCTTCAAAAATCGGACCAGTGCAGGCTTTGGTCTATTCTTCCCTACGAATGTGTGCTGGGTGTCCTCCAACTCGATGCCTTTGCTGCCATTGGTCTGCCATGTCCAGGTTTCAGGCGATACCAGGGAGGTAATCGTGGCCATCGTGATCCTCCTCTGCTGTGCACTGCTAGCGGCAGGTGGAGCTGATTGTTTTCATTGAACAACATGTTTGTATCAGCTGCCGTTTTCTTACCATTTCTCATCAACCTTTAGGTACAATCCATTTTTGAACCCACTTTTCGTCATTTGAACACTGTGTCCATCATTAAGGCAGAGATTGCAAGGGGAGAGGGAATGAACGTGGGCTTCCTCAACATACTTGCCAACCTGGGGTTGTATTCCTTTCAACGTGCGCAGTTTATGCAGAGTTGGGATGTTCGACTTAGGCCCTTAGGCGAAGCATACCGCAAAGCATACCTCCTGAAGCATACCCTCCTGAAAATGCCACTACTTTAGTCTTTGCACTGCTAGAAGCATACCCCCGAAGCATACCCCATAGTAAAGCATCCCGGCCCGGGGAACGGCAACAAAAACACTCCCATATAGATCTCTCTCCGCTCTCTCTCTCTCTCTCTCTACATCTATATCAATATCAATATCTATATCTATATCTATATCTGTATCTATCTATCTATATCTCTCTCTATATATATGTATATACAGTAAAGTCAATAGATATATATATATATATATTGATTTTTGTTTTGTTACGAAAGCCAGCCGATAGGCTGGGCTTGAGCTTTTGGAGCGAACGAAGTGAGTTAAGGGGGTGTGGGGCTGTTGAGAGGGACATTTTGAGAGGGTGAACCCGGAGCTTGGTGGGGGAGAGCGCTCCAAAGCGAGGGTCAGAAAAGCATTGCTAATGGGGTCTGGTGATGCGAGTGATGCAATGGATGCCGAGTATGAAAGGCTTTGTAGGAGACGCGTTCCCAGGACAACCCCCCTAGTCTCTACTATACTTGTACCGTTTCCTCGGTCGAGCGGATGCTTCTCGTGGCGTTCACGTGCACCGAACGTTTTTCCGGCTTGCCGGTGCAGATAGATAGATAGATAGATAGATAAATTCTATATACTACTGACTCATCACGTCGCCTTTTTGCTGGCAGCCCCCGCCGAATCCAGTCAGCCTGGGTCCACGGCCCAAAGATCTACACACGCAGGTGCCAAAGTCAAGGCCTCTGAGTGAGAAAGGCGCAGAGTTGACAAGAAAGAGAAGAAGGAAAAAGATTGTGTTTTGGATCGAGCCAGAACATGACTCACTCAAGTCCAGGCATGTGCGGCGATAGGCGCACAAATCCTCACTCCTTTGCTAGCCCAAGCTACTCCCGCTGGACCTCCCCTTTTGCGCCGCGGGATCAAGTGTCCGTGTCCCGGCTAAGACGTGCCCGTTCACTCTTCCAAATGAAAAAATGCCGCTTTTCGACCCGCCGCAGTATGCATTGCAAACTTGAAAGACTCCAAATGTAACAAGCGCATAATTGCTTCTATTTCAATCGCATGCCGTACTCGCGCGCGCGCGCGCTGACTATTGAGGTCTTCCTGGCGTGGTATCCCACCACTGGAACTCAGACGGTATTTCCTCTTCGCCAACGCCGATGTCGCTTTCCAACTTCCATAAGATGCATACCTTCTGGCGTGTGACAAACATGACATGCCGTTGCCTTGTGATGATGACCTACACCAACACACAACGTATCGCATTTCTCTTTCACTACTTCTTTCATACCAAACTTATCCCAAAGCCGCCCGGCTTGCTTCTCTGCTCCCTCCACCACCATTACGCACACCCCCCGCATCCGCGGCACCGCTGACTCGCAAGCTGCCGACCATGTGTCTTGTGCCGCGACGCCCGCCAGAAAAAGAGACACTCGTCTGGCGGCTGCTGGCTTTCGTCCCCCCCTTCTCAGACTAAATTATGGCTCGGCCCCGATGAATGCATCAATTGTGCACGTGACTATGCATCCGAGCGCAGGCTACGTCCTGAAGGTTGGCCTAGAGAAAGGGGACAAAACTCCCCATGAGCTGCTGGTGAAGCGTGGTGCCTCAGAAGCTCGAGAGCCCTCCAGAGCCGAGGTGTTTGCGGTGCCCACATGTGGTGAGGATTGTAGCACCAGGTACAAATCGGTGCAAACTGACATTTATTTGGCCTGGCCAGTAGGATCAGATCATTTAAAAGTTCCAGTTTTGCTTCTGAACTGTGAAAATTCGAGGTGTGTTCTGATCTTGACAGCGGTGGTGCCCAAACAGCTCCCGATCCAGACAGCCATGGCGGTGAATACCGTTCGATACTCAGGATTGCTGGTTCAACTGTTCAACTTCGATTTGCGACTCACCAACAGAACATCTTCCTCATCAACGTTTCAACACCCATTTTTCAAAAGAGGAAATTCATAGTTGAATAGTTAAAAATATACAAATTTACATGCCTGGCAAAATCCTACGGTGCGGTACGTTTGATTTGCGTGTGTTTGTAGGCTTTGATGGCACTTTCTCGAGCCGGGGTCTTCTGCACCGAGCCTTACCGTGTGCCACTGGCCGGGAAGGTGGGACCATTGATCGGCCATGCCAATGCAGACAAATAAAGAATACATCATGACAATCAATTTCATTGCAAACAGTTTGAGCCATGCCCATTCAATCCATGCAGTTTATCAGCCTAGCATGGCATGTGTATGTCTTGGCAGCTCACCCACTGCTTGTTCGACAAGACCGGAACCCTGACCACAGACACTTTGGTGCCGGTGGGCAGAAGGCTCAGCTGAGAATTGCTCAGTGGTCGTAAGCCGAGAAGGCTAGACAAGGTGACTTGAGCATTGGCTGGGTAACATGTTTTAGCATAATCCTCTAGAGAGCCAAAAAGCAGCTTCCACTGAGGTGTTGTGAACAGGAGTAGCGAGCCAGGAGCGGATGGACATTTGCCCAAGGCCAGGCAAGGGCATCGCTACTAGAAGCAAGGACGCTACTAGTAGCTCCTGGCCTTACTACTAGGAACAAACTACTAGGAGCCAAGGGCCAGAAGCACCCCCTCGACTGTGCCCAAGCTGCGACAGGTGCAGGTCTCGGATGCAGAGACTGCTGCTGCCCTTGTTTTGGCTGCATGCCACTCCTTAGCCGGAGCCTAAGGGCACAGAACAGCCACAGAATAAACACCAAATACTAGGTCTAAGGCTAGGGAACGACATGGACGTCGCACCAGGAAGTTCTCGATGTGACACACAGCTCTAAGAGATCCATTGGACATCCACAAAGCAAAACCGGATCCGTTGTCCTTTATGACTTGGACCAGGTCCTTATTGATGGGAAGCTGACCGGTGATCCTATCGAGGCTCGCAGAGAAGCCATCTCCTGCAGGAAACTTTAGGAAACCCGTGCCGGAACGTTGAAGGTGTCACTTTGAAGATTCAAAAGACATTGATCTCTCTCTCATATGTATGTATATATATATATACAGATACATCTCTGACTCTTGAAAGAATAAAGGTGAGAAGATACACATGTCAGTCATACACAGGAAGCTTCGACCTGCAGCGGCAGTTCGGATTCATTCCAGGTTGCAGCTCTCCAGGGCATTGGCTGGTCCTTTGATTCCCAGGCAGGACAGAGAGAGAAGACAGTTTCTTCGTCCAATAGCTGTCATGTTTTCCCCCTTTTTGCGGGAGGAACATTCCCTCGCCAGATGAATTGCGTGACTGTTGCTACATGGTTCAAGTCCAAGTCAAAAGCTTGGACCCTTCAGAGACAGTAAAGGTTGCTTGATAGACACTGTTTAGGTCTACCGTTCTACCAAGTCGGCAAATGAAAGCTGCTAGCTCGCCGGCTCTACCGCAGGCAGAGACTGCATCTCCTCAGACCACACAGGAGCGACATGGGTAGTCACCTCTTACGCTTTCAACATTGAAAAGACGGGTGACTGTGGGAAAGCGCTGAAAGCACCACTTGCTCACTGTTTTCTTGGTGCACTTGGGGACCCATGCTTGCTTTTAACTTTCTATTAAAGGCACGTTTCTTCTAGTGGCATGCATCGTGCGGAAGCACAGTCGCTCATCCAGGACTCCCCTGCCAAGAAGCGCGGCCTTGTTCTCAGCATCACCCGCACTGCTTTGGGCCAGTGCCAAGGTTTTGGCTAGTGGCAAGAAGAGTCATTTAAGGTTTATCGAACGCATCCACGCAGCATCCTTCATCCCGAAGAGAAAGCGTGTATGGACACATGATGATTGCCGTGACAGACTTCAAAGACAAGCATGTGAGGATGCATGCTACACATGGCCCTCTGCGGCGCTCATTTGTCACCCAGGCATCAAGTCTGTTCGGATCTTGCAGACTCTTGGCTAAGTTTAGTGACCCTCCAGGACCAGGACCACTAAAGCATGCGTACTATATACTATATACACATAGTAAGTATGTATCCAAAGACGCCAGAAATCCATAAGTGACTCAAGTGGTTTAATCAAATTTTCTTGGATGCAAAAGCAATCTTCAGGTTCATCAAGCGTGGTTCCTTTCACATTCAGAATCGCTTTTTGATCCTTTGACCGCATCGCCGAAGATACCCACTGTCGGAGCTCGGTCAGGCGCTTCCACTTTGCCTCGCACCTGCAGAGGATGGCGGTCGTCGCTGAGGCGTCCCAAGTGAGAAAGGGTCATCAAGTGTCTTGAGTTGGAATTGGAAGAAGTGGGCAGTCTTCTCTCTAGGCATCCTTTGAAACTAGGCATGCCGGTTGTACATTGAGGACAATCCAGGTTGCCAGTGATGTGCTTGGAAGGCCTTCCTGTATCGCGTCAGGTGTCCACTGAAGCTGATGCAGTGCTCAACCTTGAAGGCCAGTCGAAGCAACCTGAACGACGAAATGCACGAAATGCCTTGGTGCTTCCTACATTGGAACTTCACAGGAGAAGGGAACTATGTCTTGGTGAAGGGCTCTCCAGAGGTGCAGACGGAGGGAGGAAGGAGTGAAAACCATGGAGTTGGACCCCAGTTGGACATACAGTAGTTGGTGCCCCAAAGGAGTACAGTAGCCGTAACACTCGCTTGGGAAACGTACATGGTTGCTCTTGGCACCTCACTCTCCATTCACGAAATGCTCCACCGCACAGATGTCTCATTCTGCCTTGACTTTCACGACAACCCTCGGTCTAACCTTGAGGCCGTGAAGACCCTGCTGGCGAAAGATGCTGCACCAGAGTCGCTTGGCTTGGATGGTAGTGGTCTATTTGTGTATTTTCGCATCGCTTTGCACCCGAGACTACAAGCAACAGGTCTTTTATCCCCATGAAGCTGAAACTCCCAACAATCCATAGTTCATGAAAAAGATGTGGAACAACCAAAAGACCATACATATTCAGAAACAAATGGAGTGGATATAGACTTGTCACCCACTGGTCCATCCATCCGCTGTGGGGCTGTAGCCATACCATCACACACCGCACCCAAATCGTACTTGATTGGAACTGCCAAGGACTGATAGCCATGATGCAAGACATGCGATATGACTTTTGACACAATTTCTTGCATCACCCAGGATTCTAGAGCAAAAGCAACTTCGAGTACATCATGTCTTTGGTTTTGGCTGTGCATTCTCTCAAACATCCAGCAATAGGGCCCCATGCCTACTGCGCCTTTCTTAGCAATGTTACAATGTTGGATCATGACTTGGATTTTGCTTATCAATCATACAGTAGGCCCTGCAGTTTTAGCAATTCAGAAGCATGTTGTTTGCTGGTTGGCCCTGTTGGTTGTGTTTTTACCAATTCGTGAAAAACACACAGATTCTTCGGGAAGGGCTTGTCACAAATGCTATTTTAGGTGGTACGACAAGTCCCACACTGACCTGGCAGAGCGGGGCCTGCGAGCACAATCCTCAGCGGGTCAGAAAAGAGGTTTGGCAATTTGGAGAACCCTCGGGTTAAGTATATGTGTGTGTTTTAATTTTTTAAGAGGGGGTGGGGTAGGCCACTAGAGTAGCTAGAGGTGGCTAGTAGTGACTAGTTAGGACGCAGGATAGCTCACGCTTCTTCAAGGAAGCTCCCCCCCGCCCTAAAGGCGGCGGGCTAAGCTTCCTTGAAGAAGCGCTCGCACTCATGATTTGGTTCCTAGATTTTTAGGGAAACTTAAGCATGTTAGTGCTCTTTCTTGTAATCTGTGCTATTCAGGGAAGCTGTTTATGTGCCCTTTGACAGTTTCGCAACACTGCAAGCGGAAAACCTGGCAGGTATTGTCCTTGGCCTATCGGCGGCTTCCGACTGCCACTCACGAGAAGATGACTCGAGAGGAGGTGCCCTGAAGACGGGAAGAACATACGCACAGGCGGTGATAAAAAAACCAAATGACTAACTTTTGATTGAGCACTGAGTGGTACTGCAACAAGGATGCTTGGATTTTTCCTGAATGGTTTAGATTTCTGCTATCAGTTATCAGGGTCTCTCAGCGTGCAGAGATTTATACAAGAACACTGAAGTTTCTTAACATTCGCTGCTGGTTTCCCTAAGAAGCCCCCCGCCTAGTAGCTTAAGTAGCTAGTAGCTTACTCCTTTACTTCATTACGTAGGCGCCTACTCAAATAAGAAGGACCAGGAGCGGCTTTAAACACAAAAACAGACACACAGAACACACAGAACTTGGTGGGAGTTCGTCTTCTCACCGCCAGGCAGAAAAGGAGCTGATCTTCGCAGGGTTCATTGCCTTTGAGTGCCTGGTCCGAAAGGACTCTGCTCTGGTCGTGGGTGCCTTGAACGAATCCGGCCACAAGGCCTCGGGGTTCCTTCTGAGAAGAGCCTGGCGGTTGTGGATGGTGTGGCGATATTCATGAGTGACTTGAATAGTGAACTTAGTGAACTATCTTAGGTTGGAGGCCATCACTCTTAGTTTAGTGAATTTTGATGAATTTTGTGACCTATCTTAATCGCAAGGGGACCTGGTCTTGTAGCTTGACAGCCCTTGGTATCCTGGGTGGAAGGGTCTTGCCTGCTTGCTTGATTGCAGGTCATCATGGTAACGGGCGACTCTCCGCTTACGGATTCTCAGCAGCAAAAACTGACAGTGCAGCACAGTTTTCATGACATGTTGGATGTAGCTGGGCGCTTTTTCTCGGACAGCTGCAGGTGTCGGGACCTTGATCTTAAGAGCCTTTGACATCTCTGCTAACAAGCTCCATATCTCCTTGAAACGATCCTTAGTTTGTAATGCTCCTGTTGGATATTTAGTCATTTTGGACCTCATCCCTTCATGATTTTTCTCTGTGAGAAGGGTTCCTATAGCACTTGCAGTGTGCTAGCATGAGGCGCTTCACATTGCTCGCACTTGTGGCATTGCAGATGGGCAGTTGCCTGGACTGTTGCTGAGCAAGGCCCAGCTGTTTTGATACGCACCTGCCCGCAGTACTTTTGTTCCCCAGATAGCTGCAGGCTATAGGGGTTCTAACTTCTCAACGGTGTGGCTCTGGATCGGCGTTTTGGTTTTGTGGGCGCTGCTGCCGTGCTGATGCGGGTGCTGGCGCTGGCGCTGGATTGGCGCTTCGTTTTGCGGGAGCTGCTGCCGTGCGCTGGTGCCGGTGCTGGATGGGCGTTTCGTTTTGCAGGTGCTTTGGATCCGCGTTTCGTTTTGCGGTGGATTGCGGTTTTGGTTTTGCCCGCGCTGGTGCCGTGCGGGTGCTCGTGCAGGTGCTAGCTCTGGATTGGCGTTTCGTTCATGCGAGGGATGGCATCATGTTATGCCAGGGGCGACATCATGTCTTTCGAGAATCGACATCATGTCATGGCAGGGATGACATCATGCCATGCCAGGGACGATATCATGTCATGCCAAGAATGAACATCGTGTCATGCCAGGGGTGACATCATGCCACATGACTTCATGTCATGGCAGGGTCGACATCAGGCGTTGCGGTAGCTGAAGTTGCGTAGTTTGTCGTTTCCTTTTCGGTGCCAGCTGCCCAGTCGCACAAACTTGGGGGTTTATTTCCAACAGGCAAGTTTGGGGAAAAGGGAAGCCTATTGGCTGAGGCCTGTGTGGATGGCTAGTCCCCTTGTCTTCACGGTTCTTGGGTGGTTGGGGCAGGCAGGAACACCGTATGCCACTATTTGGCCTTCTTTGGTTGGAACAGTTTGGTGGTTGTTTCTTGCAAAGTAGGGTTGGCGTGCCTAGTCTGGTAGTCCCGGGTTTGACAGGATGGGTGAGTGGCAGTGCTCACATCATGTCATGCCCAAAATGACATCATGTCATGTCAGGCATGGCTTCATGTCATGCCAGCGGCGACGTCATGTCATGCCAGGGATGACATCATGTCATGGCAGGGATGACATCATGTCGTGCCCAGAATGACATCATGTCATGCCAAGGACGACATCATGTCATGCCAGGGATCACATGCTGTCATGTGTGCATGACAACACGTTGCGCAGCAATGGTCATAATGTCGTCTGGGCAGCTTTGGCTGGGCCTTGCCGATCTTGCAGTTTTATGCAGTTTTAAGTTTTATGTCTGTGTTGGGCAATGCGGGCGCATTCAGTGGATAGATGTTGCGCATATTGGTGGACTGGTCTGATGTTGCGTGCTACGGTGACAGTTGTCCGTGCCATATCCTTTAAACCTATACGCCCGCTATCTGGGGTCTATGCCGGTGTAATTTTTTTTCATGTTTGTTCATTGTAGCCCGCTCTTACTTTATCAAGCAGGCCCCTACTAGTAATTAAGTAAGGGCAGTGGACGCAGCAGGATAGCTCGCACTATTCATTTGGTTCCTAGATTCAATTCATGTCACATCATTTCTTTAAAAACATTTGACTGACCCACCACAGTGCAGTACGACACAGACGGCACCGATATAATGCATACCCGACCCGTCGGCAATGTCCAGTAGGAGACCACCCAGTCAACAGTCTTGTAAGTTGTGACCCGGCAGGTGTCGGTAGATAGAAATATATATATATATAAATATATATATATGATGTACAGTATATGTTATAAATATATACTAGAATGCTATGGAGAGTCAACTTTCTTTTGGGCAGGTTGATGATGGTGCAGAGTGGGAAGTGGTCACAGGCACTTGTGTTGCACAACATCCTGAGTCTTTGGGGCTAGGGACCCACTGGTTGAATCTAAAAAGACACATGAACCAAAGAGAAATGCTGGCATTTTGCGAAAGACTGCTCTAGGGTCGACTCTTGGTCTTGGACTTGCTTGCACCATTGAATAGCGGCTTACGCTACTTGCAGTAGCAGCATCAATCCTTGATCCCATGCAAAAGTGAATGAAGATTAAGATGTTTGCGCTTGTCTGACATGAGAGGATTTCCCAAATGGACACATTTGGTGGAAGGGGGAGGCAGAGCAACTTCACACTGACAACATCAGGACCCACTTAATCGTTCGGCGCAGGCGATCGTGCCGGGGAGCGCTTGCAAACCACTGGAGCACTGAGCTGGAGCAAGCTGGCGAAAGACTACGCCTTGATGACCACAGGAGATGTGGAACATAGATGACCACAGCGGTATTCTGATGCTAATCTACAGCATGGCTGACTTTTGTTGCCACATGACGGGCTGTAGACATACATAGAAAAACATTGACATACAACATGGTAGGGCCACAAACACTGCGTGATGTCATGAGCAGGAGATGTGCTGGATGCTGCTGTAGCACACGAGTTGCATCCTTAGCTGCCACATCTTGGGCTGATGATTCAGTTTGGTGGCTGCCACGATGTCTCCTGCTCATAACTTTGACCAACCTGGCTACACTTACGACTTACACTTACGGGAGGAAGGATGCCAAGGTCAATCAAGGTCCCAGTCACGGAACCAATCTTGCCGAGTCAAAGCCTCTGGACTGTGGTGGATGAGATCCGTGTCTTTGCGCGGATGACGCCTCAGGGGAAGGCAACCGTACGTCGTTTGAAATGCGTAGGTTGAGGCATTTAGTACGAAAGGACCCATGTTGCATGGAGGACCATGGAGGAAACAACTGCTCACAGATGGGGTTTGTTGGTTGAGTTTTTTGGTGTCTCCATGCTGAAGTGACAAAGCAAGTGGATCGGATGGGCAGGCCAAAATCATTGAAGAGTTACAGAAACAGCAGAGGCGAGATGCAGCGGGATGCATGCTTTAATCTCGAGGTTTCTCAGCTTCTCCTTTGGCTGTTCCATCACAAAGGATAATTCCTTGAAGTGTCACATTGTGGGACACACACACACACAATCACTAGTGCTTTACGTTTGAAGGGCCAGTCAACCGGTCCTTGAGGCATGTCCTGATGTGTGGCGATGGTGGCAATGATGTGGGTGCTCTCAAGCAGGCGTCAACACGAGCTCCGGGTTTGCACTTGCATCATCAAAGCCTTGGAGAGAGAGGGGACTTTAATGTTTGGTTCGTGGCACAGGCCGACGCTGGTTTGGCCCTTTTGGCTGGCTACGGCAATGTGAGGATCTCAGCTTGTGGTGTTGCTCTCAAGAGCCGCTCAGCCGGAGACACGCAAATCGATCTCCATAATTACTATGCTGCCAGGGTAAGTGCCTTCCCAGGTCAACACTGCTGACAGCAATGACATCACATCGAACGAGCAGCCTGCAGAGGAAGAGAAGAAGGTCCTTGCCCCATATGATTCTGGAGATCGGAGTTGTGCTTGATCATCGCTTATCGCTCATCGTCGTCATCATCATCATCATCATCATCGTCATCATCAATTTGTGTGCGTGGCTCCGTTTTGCAGGCAGAGGAAGCGCTGAACATGCGGGATGCCGAGCTGGCCAAGAAGAACCGGAAAGCCGCCAAGGTTCAGCCTGCTCAGCATGTCCAGCATGAACTCAAAAGAAAGACCGAAACACATGCAAGTGACTCAATGTTTTGAAAAGACACACTTGAAACATCTTGAAACCAACTCAACTCAACAGCAGTTTTGGTTTCGGCTAGATGAGGCCCTAGTCATTTGCGAAAGTCCAAGCAGACCACATATTGAAGCAACCCCCCTGACCAACTCTGGGCAGAGACTTATATTATCAAAGCAGTGTGAAAAGACAATGCTTAGACCAGGAAAGGTCTTTGCTCTCGGTTGAGCAGAAGCCCCGTGTGCTGCTACCAGGCTCGGAAGGACTTCCTTTGGCAGAAGCAGAGGGAGTTGCAGGATCATCAGCGCCAGTGGCTGGAGGAAGAGATCGAGGTTTGCTGTGGAGGATTCCACGAAAACCAGGGCTCTGGAGTAGAAAGAGGAGATCGACTTGCACTCCAACAGATGGCTGTGGGTCAAAACTTATTGGACAGTCTTGTTGAGATGAAATGAGGATGAACGATGAAGGTCCATTCATGTATAGTCCATTATTGACCATTAAAAGTTGCATTGATGTGGGTTTGGGATGTGCCAAATTATGTCTTGCCAGATCCGTGCAAAGCGTGGAGAGACTGGCCTCATGGCACAGGCGGGACCGTGACGACCATGATCGAAAACAGACATGGATCAACCCATGAACAACACCCAATTCAACCAACCACCTGAATCTTTGCAACCAAGCTCTTCAAATGTTCGACTCCTCTTCTGCCTCATTGAGGCCTTTCCAAGCTTACCAAGAGCAACTAGAGCACGTGGGGACATCGGATGACTCCCTGTTTGTAGACAAAATGTTGCTATCACGTCCTCCCAATTCCTTTGCGGTTTTGTCGTGGAGTCGTCGTGGACATGCTTTGAGCACAATTGCTTTCGAGTTTTTTGGCCAGGCAGGAGCCATGAAATCATCCATGGGACGCTACACAGAGGAGCTCAAGAAGCAGATGAAGGACCTGGAATATTTAATATTTATTGACTGTTTGAGCATCAGCGGGAGGGAGAAAGGCCAGTGATTGCTAGTGATATCCAGAATTGATGTGCGGTTGTTTGTAAGCAACACTGTGTCTAGGTCGTTTTGATGCAGAATGCTGGAGCAGATTTGGACATTCCATTCGTACCCCTAGTGTCCCAGCACGCATCTTCTTCGCGAAGGCAGTACTGACTTGTCCATATACTACATACAATGATCCAAACCCTCGCTCAAAGAAGAGTGAACCTTTAGATATTGGACGGCTGAATGCAGTCTTGCCTGAGCAAGGTTATTTTGGGGTGCGGGGTGCTGTTCTTGCCCAGGAGTACGACAAGACCCACGGCAACGTTTATGATGCTTGGCATCTTCATGTGCGAGATGAGCTCCAAAAGGTTTGCCAGGCTTTGGTAACAAGGTCATCACTACTAGTAACAAGGGCATCGCTATTTGTAAATAGTGCGAGACGACTTTGGTGAGATCCATCAAGACATCGAGATATTTCATGTCGCTCCGTGACGAACACCGCGCGCACCAACAGAGAAGGGGGGATGCAGAGAATTCATGTCGCTAATGAACCTCCAATCCAAGTTACGCCCAACATCGCCCAACATGCCCAACTTGTGCATAGAATCGGCTACATGCGACCTTTGCGGGTCACACGTCCGTAAGAGAGCTGCAACATGGGGTGCATTTAACAACTTGCCTTTTCGCACCAGGTTTCCCTTATTGAGTCTGTGTTGGGATCAACTGAGTAACTGGAGCCCCAGTTCAAAGTTGAGCCGAAGTTGGGGCCAGTTTTGGCAAAGTTCACCTCAACGTAGCGTCAATGGAACACTTTTCCAGCCCATGTTTCCCGTGTTGAGTCCATGTTAGCTGTTAGAGTCAATTTGAACACAAACAGGCCCAAGTTGCATCACGTTGGGCCCAACTTCAGCGCAAACAAGCACTGAATTATACTGAATAATTTGGGTGTAAGTTGAGCCGAAGTTGAAGTCAAGTTGGGCCAAAGTAACCCCAAATTGCAGGTGCCATCTTGCGGACATGTGGCCCGCAATGGTCCAATGTAGCCAATTTTATGTAACTCGGGCCATGGGCCCAAGTTGGAGCCAAGTGGCCCCAAGTTGGAGCCAATTTGGGCTAAGTTCAATTCATTTTCCGAAGCCAACTTGGCCCGAAATGTCCAACATCGACGATTTTATGTCCAACAGCCGGGTATGTTACTACTTTTGTGGTGTGTAACTTCCAAAAATTCCCCTAGCTAACTCCAGCAGCTTTGTTGCGATGGACCGGTGGTCGCGACAAAAATTCACGCCAGGAAAGGTTCAGAGAACTTCCCATCTAAAAAGTATCCCAGCGATACCAATTGATGTTGCGACTCCATCCTGGCACATGAATAGAACCCTTGTTCGCCAGTATCGAGTCTAGTGTGGTTGGAAGCTGGCTCAGGATGACGACAAAGACAAGGACCCTTCCAAGTCCACTCCGAAGGATCCTGCAGCCGTGCGCCCTCCTGTTTCGGAGCCGTGCTTATGGGCTAAAAGGCCCAGATGGTCAAGCACGGCTCGACATATAGGTGGATTTGTCCTTTCAATTGGCCGCAAGAAGTGAAGTACTTGTAGACCATAGATTTTTCACCACCAGAGCACATTCTGATTGCATTGGAGCACGTCCTTCTATTGGGTACGTTCATGATGTATGTCTCCTCTCTCTTGTCCACTCTTGACGAGTTGACCCAAGTTCCTTCAAAGGGTGGCCCTTCAAAAGCAGGACATTGCCTTGATTCTCTATGAATCCTTGGAGATGCTCTTGTTCCAAAGCGCCATTAGTGAGCTCTCCACTGGGAAGATACTGTAGGTCTTCAACTTCCCAACCTTTTCCTCACCCCTTGTCTCTTGAGAAACCACTAGTAGCAAAGGGCATCGCTCCTTCGTGGCGTCAGCGTGCCAGGTCCTTGAAGGCCTTGACCAGGGTGGACTTCCCATGGTGAGGCCAGTGGATGGGAGAAGTCCGACCGAGTGATGACGAGCATTGACGAGCTGATGAGGATGTGGAGATCGAGCTGTTGAACAGTTTGGGTTCAGCTGGATCTCTACCTAGTTGATATCATTATTAGTTGACATTCTTCACGCCCATCGGAATATGACTATGGCATATTATGTATGGCATTGCGATTAGGTTTATTGGAGGTGAGGCAGCCATGTGCTGCATGTGCCCTGTCGTCTCCAGACCGGGCGATGCCTCCATTGCAGCTCCCTTCACCACCAAGGCGAAACTCGCCTGGTCAAGATTCACTGGACAGCTGGGTGGGTCTCCCAAAAGAACTTTGTGTTCTGAGGAGGGTTTGCTCTAGCTTAGAGTGCAACCTGGGATTCTTTGGGATTCTTGAGAGCCTCGCTGTATCGATAGCTTCTGCAGATGGCAACCACCAGACAATGAGAGATCATCCAGCCATGCAGGCACCATCTGTGAAGAATTGTGTGGACCTGATTCGCCAAGGGCGGTGCACGCTCTTGTCTGCTTGATTCCGAGCCCAATGACTTTGGCAAACCTGAATCTTAGGATGCTTAACAGGACAGGCATTGAAGTGTGGCACAGTGGAACATGTCGCTGCTTACATTCATCCTGCGCATATAGTAGTTCTCAACTTGGGTTCAAGTATGATGCAGCAACGCGTCTGAAGGCCTTGCAACAGCAGCAGATTATGATGTCCCAATCTCGGATTGGCCTAGGCACTTGAGGCACTTGTCGCTTCGGTCGGAGAGCGCGGCCTTGAGGTTGAATTGCATCATCAATGCCTATGTCCTTTCAGCCCTGTCATTGGAGGGCTCACGCTCATCAGAGAGGCCAGGGTCAGGATAGATGTTTCTGATGTTTTGCGAGGAGCTTTGTTCTCGGAGCCAAAAGTAAAAACCTTGCAGTTAGACTCTTTGCTCGTTTTTCAGGGTTTTCAAGTTCCAAACTGATGATCCTGCACTTGCTGTTTCTGATGCAGATGAAATTGCTAGATCTCCAACGTCCCACGAAATTTGACGAGCATCCGATGACACCCGATCTGGACACCGGTTTGGGGCGCCCTTGTTTCGCTGCAGCATTTCAGGCAAATGATGACTTCCTCGTGGCTTCTTACCACAGCCTCCCTTGCCTTCACCTATGCATCACCTTGCCGTGGTTCCCAGGTTCATTTGTTTGAAGGGGATTGTTGTGAATCAGCGAAGCAGCCTTGGCCGCCCAGTATTGAGATGAGCAATTGATTACATTTGCAAAGTGTCTTCGTGTTCTGAGAGTGATCGACCAGCTAAGAAGAATGTGTCGGTCACTCCGGACTTAATCACTGAGGTGATCGCATGCACCCTGTTCGCCCTCTCCGATCGCTGTTCCATCCAGCTGTCTTCATCTCGATGTTGGGTCAGGCAGAAACTGAAGCGAAAGGGTGCCTTTGACAAATGCATGCTCGCGAGCTTGCACGAACACACACACACACACTTATTGAAAGGCGTTCTGACTTGAACGCGGTTGCCACACGCCAACCTGGGTTCCCAAATCCTGAACAATTCAGGTAAAAACCATAAGGGGGCCTGGGGTCTTCAAACGGAAAGGAGGCCTAAAGCTCAAGTCAACATCGACGATCACGGATCGACAAGATGACGACGGCCGCTCACATCTGCAGAGTGCATTAGACCTTTACGGAAAAGTGGAGTAACAGCTTGGAAACATCACACCAAAAGCAGGTACGTCACGGTGATCAGCCGTGATATCCTAGTCAACTGCATGGAGCTTCGTTGACGACAGCCATGCAGTGACTCTGTCAACCCCTGCTTACAATCAAGAAACCTCAACAAAAACATTCCAACAGGAACCTTGTGACTCCAAAGGTTACACACACACACACAGAGTTCATCTTCAAAAAGGCAGTACTTCAGGTAAAAGGAGTCTTAATCGACCACAGCCACTCAGCCACTGGCCAACTTTTTTGGACAGGCAGCCATTCACCTCTTTTGCATGGCCGTGGGCTGAGCTCAGAAGTGCTGGTGACTTCGTCACTTCTGTTTTGATCATCCAGCTGCGTCCAGCTGGTCAGGTGGCTTCCGTCCGCATGGCACGCGCCGCCATGGAGCCTGACTCTCCCGAAAGACAAGCAGGTGGAAAGTGCAGTGCGGGGGAGGGAGCGGGCGACTGCTGTCCAATATGGTACTTGATGAATCGTAAAGTGACAATTTGAGACCATCCGATTCACCTGATTAACAACTGTGGGATACTGGATTGCAATGTAGCCTGGAAGAGCCGCAGAGCTATTTGGAGTTGCGCAGGTTGGCAGGGACCTTCCCTCCAGGAGATGACTGCTTCACATTGCATGCAGTTGAGTTGACGCCCATGTGACACATTTCTATTGCATTGACTCTGCATGTTGCAATGGAAAGACCTTTGCTACCCTTTTCCATCAGCTCACACAACCTGATCCCATGGTTTCGTTTAAAGCCCAATGCTTCAAGGATGTCTCGGACTTCTGGAAGAGAGAAAGGCTGAGGCGGCGTGGTTTGATTGAGCAGGCCGGCGAGACTGAAAAAAACCAATGAGCCACACGCAACTGACTTTGTGTGGCCAGAGACGGCCTTTCAATGATGCCTGCTATTCCCGTGGTTTTTGTTTGCTTCAAGATGGAGCCTTGAGCTGACAGGCAGAACACTAGGTTATTATACTGTACCGCCCTGAAACGATGGAGTTTTGCATGTGCCTGAGGAGGAGGAGATGGACTGGACGCAGTATGCATTTTCCATGTGGACCCAGCCGTTTCTGCAGCGGGCTCTGGAGCAGTGAATCCTACCATGTGACGTCCTTGTGCTCCTTAGTTAGTATCGAATGCCTCATCGAAATCCACGCTTTTGTTCAACCCAGTTTTCAGACAAGTACATAAACTTATTGTGACTGAACAAGAAAAACATTTGTGCCTGCAACATACTTCAACATACCTTAAAGTCTTGAAGTTGACACCTGAATCACTGATGTAACACACTTCGGTTGGCAGCCCGAACTCGTGTTCCGAGGCCGAACTTGATGAACACTGTGGTGTTTCTGGTGGAAACGGCGGGGTGCAAGGGAAAAGGATGGGAGAGAGAGGAGGAAACAAACAAAATTTCTCTACACTACTTTCACCCCAGATGGATGCAAGGTCCACACTGTCCACACATTGCTTATTTGCATCTGGCTTTGCCATGCCTTTCTCCACACTTCTCCGGGTTTGGAGCCGAGGCTCAGACCGTGGCCATCCTGTTTGTGAACTACAAGGTGAGAAACCACGGCGACGATCAGAAGCCACGGTGACGATCAGAACCAGTTGAATTGATGTTTTTGAGTGTTTCGGGATCGATCGGGTTTTCTCATCTCGCAAGGTTCAAGGTTCCTTGTTTGATTAGCTTGGAAAACCAATAGGAGTGCCATAGGGGGCCTTTTGCAATGCGAGTTCTATTCTTGCACGCTATTGTGCAGGGCCAGCCATGGATGAAAGGTGTAATGGAGAACCGGGTCAGGATCCCAGACAGACTGTGCCAGGTGATAATGATCTCCCATGTTTGTTTGCTGCTTTCAAACCTGCTGGTAGATTTGTGAGGAGTGTAGGTGGAAGGAGCGCTGTAGACATGGGCATGTCCCTTGCTGGCCTGCTTTTTTGACAGAAGGACAAGACCTGGTAAAATGTCCATCCATTTTTGCAAAGCCGAGGCCTTGTTCCTTTCAGTCCTCACAGTTGCAGGAAGCGTCGCCGCTGCTGCGTCAGGGGAACCCAGCTACGGCAAGGGACAAGTTTGACAAGCCCAAGCTGCCAGTACCAATTATTCAAATTGTGCTTAAAACGTTCAGATTCGGCCATTAGGGAAGCAGTGATTGGTACTCGTATTGTGGGCAACAGGGCACAGTGCACCAGTGGTCCCCACCCACCAGAATTCTCGCATTATGCATGGTGCCCAGGCCCAGTGTGTTGGTTTTGGCGAAGACGCCGTAAACAATCCATAACAGTATTTCTGCTGAGGTGGGAGTTTCAGCCGCAGTTGAACGAGCTGATCCATTTGTCACCCTTCCCCAATGACCGGCCCTTAGATGGTCGCATGTGTTGGCTGAACTTTTTTGTTTCAATCCTGGTGATGGAGTTGAAGGAAGACTTCCTACACCACCTGGGATATTGAACACCGAGGTATCGCTGGTGCATATACTGTCAGATTTCCTCCTTCAATACTAGGAGAATCCAGAATCTGCCAAAGTGCATTCATTTGGCTTGACCAACTACTTTCCAGAAAAGCTCAGATGGACCTTTCTCCACTCCACCCTCAAGGAAGAGATGTAAATGGGCACCGGTTCACTGTGTGATGCACTCTGCCAAGGATGAGTTCCGCTGGAAGGTCATGGGGCTTGTGGGACTTACTCTGATGGGCACCTTCATTTGGGATCGCTTCTGCGTCCTCATCTTCGCTCCTGAGATCTTCAAGGCCGTCGGACCGTCCGACCGAGCTGCCTTTGGACTCGGGATGATCCAGTCACAGTCATAGAGGGGTCTATGGATTCTCATGGACATGCAGGGCTTAAAGGGAAAGCGTGTGGGTATGATGAACATACAAAAATATCACACCAGCAAGCAATCTACCCATTGAACATCACACCAACCAGCCTCACTTCCATTTCAAATGACCTCAATGATCTGCAGAGGCCATGGTGGACTCTGCTAAGAAGACGACCTTCCGCAACGATGTTGTCCCGGTGTTTGTGACCGTTGGCAAGGCCGGACGAATGTCCCAGGCCTTAGGTATCCTGTGAGGACAAGCGCATTCAGGTCTATTTCAGGTTTACTGGCTAAAGGTCTTTGGATCAGATCCAAAGATTGAGCACCAGTGCATCAAAGCCTTACCTCTTCATTGCCATGGACCAAAACATGTTTGTTTAATCCTGGTGGACCCTTTATCCCTGAAGGATCAAACATGTTTGACAAGCTTGTCAGGCTTCCCAAGCATACCCTGAAGTCTTTTTGGTGGGTATCGGCACAAGAAGAAAGGACATGCAACTGCAGGTGCTGGGCGTCTTTGTGATCTTGGGCACAGGGAATCTTCTCATGGCCGGCCTTGCATATTGGATGTCACCGGCCTAGAGACAGAGACGGCACGACCACATCCACGACCCATACCGGGGGACAAATAATCCTAGAACTGAGAAAGATGCCGGTTTCATAAGGACAACAGGAAGGTTATGATATGTTATGATGTGTTCTTCTGGAGGAACAAGGCTAGGAATTGGAGGCACCGAATTTCTGAGGTACAGAAGGCATTCCCAAGATCCTGATGAATAGGGACTTCCGGAGGCGTCACTTCCGTCTCAAGATGTGAACTTGTTACTACTAGTAAGGCACTTGTTACTAGAAGCGATGCACTTGTTCCTAGTAGCTTCTTGTTTCTACTAGTAAGGCACTTGATAAGGATTTGATTATAAGGTTTCTTCTAAACACGTTTTATTTCAGATTATGCGAGTTGCTGTGCTCCACACATAGTCGCACATATTCGTGCTTACTGTATATGATTGGAACTTGGAACTGTGGCGGACATCCTGTGGTGGGACTGCAAGGCGAGAAGATGCTCGAAGCCCAAGCAGGCCACCACAAATGAGCAGATGAAGAGATTGCGTCTCACAATCCGGAGATCGCCCAAAAGCGGAATCATGTTGTGCATGTTCTTGGGAGAAATCACTGAATAGCCACTGAGGGATTCCGGAGTTTGAGACATCCACCTTCATCCAAAGCCTCACCAGTGGCGACCAAACCTGGAGCAAAAAGAACGAAGAAGCCAGTCCAGCGTTGAGTGAGGAGCATCTTGAGGCTTTCCATGGTTACTTTGTCGACATTCCGTAGCCGTTTTTAGCACCATGAAGATTGGGTAAAGGGCTGCATGTCAGAGAATGGCAGCAAGCGGAGCTCCGCTTCGGAGTCACTGGAGCAGGAGCGTTAAGAGTCAAATTTTTTGGGTTGGGATGGCAGGGTTACGAAGTGTATTTTGGCGTTGGCAGGGTTACTGTAACTTGAGTGGACCAATCTGAACATGATCTTGTTTCAGGGTGGCCAACACCGCCTGGACCAAGTCACAGGTGTTCTTGACACCGGTATGTTTTCATTGAATTCTGCTTTGCTAGGGCAGGGGCTTCGGTGGAATTCACTGCAGGGTGGAAGGGTGGAAGTTGTAATTTAACATATCCTTTACACTACAAGTCAACTCCACCAACACTGAATCCTTGTTTGTTCATGCTTAGGAGGGCCATTGTGATTCAGAATTTTCTACAGGTCGAGTCAAATCTGGATTGTTGTAGTCCCACTGGTACCTCCTACAAAAAGAAACTGGATGGACCGCGCAGTGTGTTTTGAGGAACCCAGCCTTTGCCTTGCGGTTTGGAGGATTTGTTGTGCAGGATGTGCTCCTAGATCTTCCGGAGGAGTCGTTGTGCGGAGCTCGGTGAAGGTTTGTTCAGCCGACGCTGACATTGACAAAGACCAGAGACCTTGTGTCTAACTGATGGCCGCTACTATATAGTAGCTAAGTGCATCGCTACTACTAACAAGGACGCTATTAGTAGGTCCTGGCCTTGCTACTAGTAACAAGAAGCTACTAGGAACAAAGGGCATCGCTACTAGTAACAAGAAGCTACTAGTAGCTAAGTGCATAACTACTAGTAACAAGTGCATCGCTACTGGTCTACAGCTGAGGCAGAGGCCCAACAGCAAGGCTGGGGACGAGTAACGACACTTTATGTGGGCTCTTTTCATTTTGCACCTGAGAGTCAACGCAAGTTAAAGTTGGTTCAAGTGACTTCCTGCTTTCAGTGCCGGTTGTACAGTGAACCTGCTTTCATGAATTCCTGCTGCAAGTGAAATGCAACCTAGCCACAACTTGCTATCACAGTCAAACTGAATCCAATGACAAAAAGGATGCAAAAGGTGGGAGACTGGGAACCACTGGGAACCTCCCATGTGAGTACAGACAGACCCACCAGCTGCCTCCAAAACTGGACTGTCCAAGCCCGACCAAAAAGATCCAAAAAGTCCAAAAGCTACGAAGACCCAAAGCGTCCTTGCTCCGTTCGTAGCGATGCCCTTTGCTCCTAGTAGCTTCTTGTTCCTAGTAGTACGGCCAGGAGCTACTAGTAGCGTCCTTGCTCCTAGTCCATGATCACTTGGTGAAGACCTTGGACATCTATGGAAATCTAAGAGATGAGATAAAGGTGAAGACCGAAAGCCGTGGCCGGCCATGATTCTCGGTAGAGTCAAGATTCAACCGGATTCTGTGCAGGTTCTGTTGTATTCCAGATACATGGTTGAGATGGTCTTGAGACCCTACTGTAGCCTCCACTGACCCATTTTGTTCTGCGGCTTCAGGGCTTCACTCGTGCGAAGCCTAGATGGAGAGGATGTGCAGCGCGGATGAACCATGTTTAATAACACAGTAGCGTCCTTGCTCCTAGTAGCGATGCCAGGAGCCCCTAGTAGCGTTCTTGCTCCTAGT